AGAAAGGATCTTTCTATACAGCTTGCTGGCAGGGGACCGGCTTTTGTACTCAGGATGTGGCAGCTTTCTAAGGAAAATTAACTGTAAGCCTTTCCACCTTTTGTTTTGATGCCCTTGGAATGCATTTAGCTCATTTAAAGAGAAAGTGCAATTGGACTTTAAGGCTAAATACACTTTATATAAAATAGGAAGGTTTTATCACCCCCCTAAATTTATATTCAATTAACAGCTGAGAAGTATCTGGACACATAACCAGAAAAATACATTTGTAGCTCCACCCAAATAATTTCCCACAAGCTGCACAATGAACCATTATATTCTTCTACCTGTAGTGTTCCCGGTCTCTGGGCTGATTCTTTGAGATATGATCACTTTTCCCATCCTGACCCAATAGATATCTTTATATGACCTTTCCCCACCCCGAATGCAGCATGAAGGGGCTCAGTGAAGGTGGTGGTGAAGGTGTGTAAGTGTCGGATCGGGTCACACAGATCATAAAAGGACAGCTGTCCGGCCTCATAATCCAGATAGATCCTGACTCTGTTACTGGAGATATTGTCAGGTAACTGGATCCCTTTGCTGGTATGGCACACTAAACACTGATTTGTTTTGCTGTATAAACTCCAGGACTTGTTATTGTTTCCCATCCATGACTGGTCTCCTCACCCTCTCTATACTGGGATAACACATCCCGAATACCCAGCAATCTGATTTACTGACATCCACTTCCCAGTAATGTCGCTCTGAGGAAGATCTCCTGCTGCTTAATACCTGAACATAATCCTGAAATCTCTCTGGTGTTTCTGGACGATTCTGCCTTATATATGACATGGATACAGTTTTCATGTCCTCTGATATCTGTAGATTATTATGAGCTGTGTTTACATCCAGTACTATATCTGACGCTTCCTGTATATTGAAGCAGACATTTACCCCTTTCATCATATTAGATAACCCCGAGTGTAATGTGTGTGAGATCCCAGCCACATCCAGATTCCTTCCATCATGGAGGAGTTTATCATGTCTCTCTCTGTCCTCATCATCTCCCTCCTCAGTATCACACAAGTCCCCTGTGTCTGATTCCTGTAAGACAGTCAGTGGGTCAGTCATGTTACACATCTCCTCAATGTGACCCATCTTCCTGGACAGCTCGGCCTTCTTTATTTCCAGCTCCTGGATCAGGTCAGACAATTGATGTGAGAGCCGCTCTTCCTGCCTGGAGATCTCCCTCAGGACTCTCTTCTCCAGGTCTTCCAGATGTCTCCTGAGGTCTCTGAACAGGGCAGTGACTCTCTCTGTTACACCGGCTGATTTTTCTTGTACTTTTCTCCTGCGTTCCTGCAGACTCCGGACTCTTCTCTCAGTCTCCTCTCTCTCCGTGATCAGTTTCTGAAGACCAGTTCTCAGTTTCTGTTTCTTCTTCTCAGAGGCCTCATCCAGAGTCTCCACCTTGTGTCCCTGGTGTTCTCCAGCCAAACTGCAGGACACACAGATACAGGCAGCATCTGCAATGCAGTAATATTTAAGTAGTTCTCTATGGACGGAGCATTTTCTCTTCTCCATGGAAGAGGTGGGTTCAGTTAAGACGTGTTCTGGTGACTTGCTGTGGAATCTCAGGTGATCATCACACAGAGAAGCTTCACAATGCAGACAGGACTTAACAGCAGGTACAGGAGAGTGAATACAGTGAGTACAGAATATACCAGCCGTCTTCTTCTCCAGATCTTCCTGAGTAGATCGGAAATTCTCTGCTATGTTACGCAGTGTTATGTTCCTGTGCAGTACAGGCCGATCCTGAAACTCTTCTCTGCACACAGGACAGGGCTAACCTCCAGACCCCTCCTGTGTATCCAACACACGATCAATACAGACCCGGCAGAAGTTGTGTCCACATCTCAGGTTTACAGGATCTGTATAAGTGCTCAGACAGATGGAACAGTCCAGCTCCTGTCTCAGATCAGCAGACGCCATCGCTGACAGCAGACGAGAGAAATGAAACTGGAAAACAGAACAGAGAACAATTCACATCCTTCCATATAGGGAGGGGTGAGGTAATCTCTTAGCTTCTATCTACTGCAAACTACAAACATATTATGAATTACAGATATCGTACTACAACTACAGACTGAAGGAAGAGACAAATTGCACAGAACATGCAGACACCCCCAACGCTCCCACACCCGAAAGAAATATCTTATATATTTATATCTTATATATAATATCTTATTACTAAAGCTATAGAAAATTATTTTGTTCATAGGCTGGTGAGGTGTTGGAGGGTTCTGTGAGGGAGGGCCATAAAGCAGTTGTTAGGGGTGAATTGATTTAAAGGGGTTCTTATTTAAATAAGACTAGAAGGGAAGAGATAGCTATATTGATAGGAAAATTGCAGACTGCAGAGTGAAAACATAAGTATACTGGTTCACCAATGGATGAGCAGAATCTAGACTCTCTACGGCAAGCCTTATCTAGCTTATTAGAAGAAAGGGTTAGAAAAAAACGCAAGATTTATGTTACATAAATTTAATGAGCACGGTAATAAATGTGGTAAGATGTTGGCAAGGGGCCTTAGAAAACAGAGAGCCTGAGGATTAGTGCCAAAGCTCCAAACAATTCCTGGGGTAAACGGTTCAACATACTTCTAAGGTTATGGAAACCTGTTAGAACAATCAGGTCCGAACAATCTCGGGTTCAAAGAAAATACTTTATTACTCGTGCGAGGAGACAAGACATAGAAAAAATCTAACAGCTAGTAAGCATCTACGTCTTGTCTCCTCGTATGAGTAATAAAGTCTTTTCTTTGAATCCGAGATTGTTCGGACCTGATTGTTCTAACAAGTTGGTCCTTCGAGCCGCAATCCAACATCCTAGTGACCGAACCCCCATCGGAAGACTGATACCGTACGGGGAATTATCACCTAACGTGAGATTCCAAAAACTTGAAAAGACCTCTATCTGAATTGATGCCAAAAGAGGCCAGTCTAGGACCAGGGGTTCGGCACGGGTGACGGATCCCGAAGAATTGGCGCCAGGACGAGCAATCTCTCTTCAAAGGGACAAGGTAATTAACTTTAAATGTCAACCTTTGAAATATATGTATGTTAAGTTGTTAAATTGTGAAGAAGTCTGTTGAAGTCTGTGGTCAGGAAGCCTGAGCAGGCACGACCTGTGTGTTGGCAAGACGTCGACAGTCGAGCACGAAAGTCGAGCACGAAAAGGTCCCGGGAACAGACGAGACGCCGTAGAAAAGTGTTCAAGTAAAACTTATAGGTGGTCTTCAGAAGAAGTTTTGTGGGACCCACTGAGTCCAAAACAGCTTCGTGATCTGAAGTAATTCCATCGAACGGTTAAGAGTACTTGAATAAGTTTCTATCAGAAGTGAAAGATAGAGTCAGTGTGAGAAGACTTTAACAAACTCCGTGATCACGATAATCAAGAAACCATGGGCTCAGGATGTAGTAGATTATGTACTTGTATCGATATGTGTAATGTGATGTAATTGTTTAGTAGTTTCTGGTGGTAGAGTCAGTGTGTTTGTGGTTAAATGAGACGTTGCCCGGCAACGAAGCAAGAGTAGACCCTGTGCAGGTGCAGTTCTCGGCCAGGTGTCGAGTCACCGATAAGTGAAATTGTTGTTTTATGATCTCTTTGTGTTGAGAGTCTCTGACCCCTAATTAGACTCTCAATCCTCACCCTACCCTCTGTGTCTGTCTTGGTGTCTCTAGAGTTCAAATATGGGTGGGAACCAGTCAGTCCCGACTCCCTTAGAATGTTTGATAAATAATTTCAGGAAGGTATTCTGTAAGGGCTGTGATCTGAAACAGCCCCAAGAGACCGGAAAGTCTATGTGTGAAAGACTGGCCCCGCTATGGAACGCGGTGGCCCCCACAGGGAACAGTTAACTTAGAGATTATTGACAAGCTTCAATAACATGTTATGACAGACTCACAGAAACATGAATAGCCCCCTTCATATATAGAGGGACGAGCCCTGGCGCCCCACTCGGTAGACGGGGGTTATCAAGCTCAAGCCATTGCCCCTCCCCAGAAAGATGCCCTCACACATCTGACCCCATCAATGTCTAATCTCAGTATATATACTCCCAACTGTGACACTCTCAGTATAAACAAGATACATTCAGATTCAAATTCAAATGGCTGACAAAAGACGCACTAACCTCTATGGAGGACCTTTAGCAACCCCGAGAGTGCAGGACACAATTCTATGAGAGACTGATAACTAATGCTGTGGGGTTTTTTTAGTCAGTCTAAGAACTGAGATGGGAATGTTTCACACTGCTGCTAGAAACTTAGAAAAAGGGAAGTGGTTTGATGGCAGCTGTGCTGTCAGAAGATTTATAAAAGCAGAGAACGCTGCAATAGAGTACTTGGGGAGATTATGTGTCAAAATTGTGTAGAAATCAATGTGCATATTGCAAGAGTGAGGAAAAGAAGGGCCTCTGACCTACAGATAGGAAATTGGAAAGATAATAAATGGCCTCACCTGCGTATTGTTATGGTCCCGCCACTTGGGCAGAGGATGGGTCATATGGCTACAGAACTCCTATCTATATGCTTAATTGAATTATTAGGCTACAAACTGTATTAGAAATGATTACCAATGAATCTGCAAATGCTTTTAATCTGCTTGCCAAACAAAGAACCTAAGCTGCGTATTGCCATTTACTGGGACAGACTTGCATTAGCTGCGGAGAGAAGTGTTTGTAGGAAGTTCAACTTAAGCAACTGCTCTTTTACCACAGAGCATAACAAGCAGCACCTAAGACCCCCCCTTCCTGTCATAGATCGTAATGACTGTTTGTGCCAAGATGAGACACCTCACTCATTCTAACTAAAGAATGGTTACAAGACATGCAAAAGCAAGCACCAGCACATGAGAAAGATAGCTGGCACAAGAGGGGGACCACACAAGGACAGGGCACATACACCAGCATTCATGGTAAGCCCATCCTCCCCAGATCATTGTATAGGTATGCAGCATTATTGAGCCATGGGCAAAGCCATGTCTCAAGAGGAGGGATGGTACAGATAATTGAAAGAGTGTTCACAGCATATGGCTTCGTAAACTACTCAAAAAAATGTTGTATGGCATGCACCACATGTGCCAAATACCATGCACAGGGGGGCCTGAAACCCCCAACAGGTCGGTTCCCACAACCTCCATACCCATTCCACACAATATGTATGGATTTAATCGAACTAACTAAATGTGAAAACAAAAAAGTATTGCCTGGTCATAGTAGATATGTTTTTTAAATGGGTAGAAGCTTTCCCCATGACACACCCGACGGTGTATCCGTAGCAAAGACACTTGTGCAGGAAATAATACCCAGATACGGTATCACATCCATGATCTATAGTGATAATGGATTACATTTTGTTAATCAAACAGTACAACAATTAAGTAAATGGTATAACATAAGTTTAAAAAAATAATTGCGCTTACCATCCCCAATCAGCAGGGGCAGTAGAGAGACAGAATGGTACCTTGAAGAATAAATTACGGAAGCTGCTAGAAGAAGCACTGAACACCGCCCAACCCGGTGAATGGGTGTGGGTAAGAATCATTAAACGTAAGAACTGGTCAAGCCCAAGGTGGGAAGGACCATATCAGGTTTTATTATCCACACCAACGGCAGTTAAAATAGCTGAAAGAATTCCATGGGTACATTTAACACATTGTATGAAAGCCAAAGGTTTAGGGACAGAAGAGGGAACATCCATAGGATCATAACCAGAGAAGGTCCGGCTACAAAGGGGGGTGAATCCAATAGGGACCACTCGTCTCAAACCCGGTGAAGAAACCTACCCTGGGAAAAAGATCCTTAGGGATGGAAAAAGAATACAGGGAAAGATGGTTATTAGAACCAGGGTATTTCACAAAAACATGGACAGGCAGGGTTCTATCGGTAGCAATTATCTTAGGACTGATCACAATATCCACCTGGCTTACATTATCCTTGACACATAACCATAGAAAAAAAAAAAAAAAGAAGAGGATTGACAAAAGGGAAGACAGACCAAACAGTGACTTTGACAATACAAGAAGGGATTACCACCACCGTCAAATTTGATATATGTGAAGCAGTTCCACGTGGAAAAGGTAATTGGCCAAAGACCCTTGTAACTATGAAAAATACCTATGCCCAGATCCCCGGTGCTCAGATTGGAAGGTAGTTTGGTGGAGCACCGATCTGTCCGGTTACATCACGGAAAGGGCAGAAATCCCTGAAAGCAAAAAAGGCCTAGTTGAAAGACTCACCCTTACTAAGTTAAGAAAAAAACGAAATACAGTGTAAAAATCAGAACAAATGTAATCCGGTGTCCCTAACCTTAAAATCCCCTGTACCACAGGATACAGGTACGTATGGTATAGGTGTTCATGTGCCCCCTGGAGCAGACATTATCCGACCATTTAAGATATTGGTAAAAAAGACTGCAGAGGACTCAGAACGAACACCTACAGATAATCCACTGATGAAGAAACTTAAACCAGATCTGTTCAAAACAAATTTTACATATAAAGAACAGATAAACTTTGAGACAGGGTTTGGGGACAAAAATGAATGGCTAGAATGGGTCAGGTGGACCACGCAGGAAGTACAAAAACAAGGTAATTGTATAGCTTGTTCCAAGGCTCGACCCCAGCTAGCCACAGTACCTGTGTTTGAGGAAGAAACTAACCTCATCTGTCTCATAAAATTGTTTTCGGAAAATATTACGGGTAACGAATGTATGACCAAAAGGCAGACATATCCCATAACTAGGATCAAGGGCCTACCCCCCTCGATTACTGCAACTCCAGGTAATGTCACCTGTTTTCGCAGCTCTCTAGAGGATGGGACACAATTCAAGCTTTTGCCCGACTCCTTTTGTAACCAAGTTATAAACATTGCCTCACCGCCATAACAGAGCAATGGTTTTTAGAGCAAAAGCAACAACCCTCAGATCTCTGGTGGTTGTGTGGAGATATGAAATTGAGATCAAGACTTCCCCCTAAATAGAGAGGAGATTGTACTCTGGTACATCTCCTCTCCCCTTTTTTCCTTATCCCACTAGGTCATGAAGGCATACCAGACACTCCAAGGAAGAAGTTCCAGAGACGGAAGAGGAATGCCCCGCATGGATGTTTTGACAACAGGGTCTACCTGGATTCCATAGGTATACCCAGAGGAGTCCCAGACAAATTCAAAGCACAAGATCAAGTGACAGCTGGATTCACCTCCATTTTTATCTGGGTGCAACCCAATAAAAACGTCGACTGGATCAACTATATCTATTACAATCAGCAAAGATTCGTCAACTATACCAGATATGCCATTAAGGGCTTGGCAGAGCAACTGGACGTCACCTCTCTGACAGCGTGGCAGAATCGCATTGCATTGGATATGTTGCTGGCAGAACGGGTTGGGGTATGCAAAATGTTCGGTCCCTTCTGCTGCAGGTTTATCCCAAACAACACAGCTCCGGATGGTAGCGTGACTAAAGCGCTACATGGCCTGCAAGCCCTGTCTGAAGAATTGGCCGAAAACTCTGGTATAGACAATCCCTTAAGTGGACTATTTGAAAAATGGTTCGGAAAATGGGCGGATCTAGCCAAGAGCTTATTAATATCGATATGCATGGCAGCTTCAGTCCTGATCCTTTGTGGATGCTACTGCATCCCCTGCATACGAGGACTACTGCAAAAATTAATCGATACTTTGCTTACCAAGGTAATGTACTGTAAAGAACAAGACTACTCTCCAATCCAGCAAGAAGATAAAGATGATTCTGATGACACCTCGTCCGTGTGAGGATATAATGACGGACATTCTGAAAGCATACTGGGATGATCCCGACGAACATTCCTCATATTATTATAAAAGTATAAAAGGGGGGAAATGTCAGAGGTAAAAATACCTTGTTTAGTTAACTTGTATAATCATATGCTAGAAATGCTTTTACAATTAAGTTACAGAAGAAATGATTTTGCAAGCATGTTACAGAAACCAATATGTGACGTGTCTTTACTCTTAAACACGGAAGTTTATCTCTTGCTACCATGTAAGGGCTGAAGAAGACGACCAATATAATAGCTTATGATAAGGAACTCTCCTCTGCCCAGGCTTTATAAACTCTTGCAAGCTAATTTTAGTTGGACAAGACGTGGATGCTTACTAGCTGTTAGATTTTTTTCTAGTCTTGTCTCCTCGTACGAGTAAGTAAAGTCTTTTCCTTTGAATCCGAGAATGTTCGGACCTGATTCTTCTAACAAAACCTTCCGGCAATATTGGGCAGGATTATATAACCTGGAAAAATAGGTATTCTGCGCCATAGAACAAACTGAAATCAAAGAAGAAAAAAAGAGTCAAAAAGAGGAAAAACCGGATTAAATACAAGCTGCTAGAACTCAGGCTAGGAAGCCTCAAAGGTTAATTGGTCGATGGTACAGCGCTATGAGTCTCACGGTGTATATTAATAAAGACTAGTGTGTGAACTGAAAAGTGTCCGTGAATATCTACAACCACGAATCAATTGTATAAATAAATCAATATATCAATTTATATAAAATGTGTACCTGTCTTCATTTATCCATTGTATCAATACGTGAAAATATATGTGAAACTTTACACGGAAATAAATAAAATTAAGTATAAATGGATCTTCAAAACTGAGTGGATAAAAATAAATATAAATATATAATATAAATACTGCATTTAACTGTGTGTTTGAACGTTATCTATTATTCGTATGAGTGTGGATCCGCCTATCATCATATATAGTGCAATCAAGTAAGTGATATCAAAGGCATAAGTGTTTACACACAAATCAAGTGAACAACCAATCCTAAGTGGTAAATAATAATGTCCGATAGTGTCCTATTCCTGGGGAGACAAATTTTAAACTGATGGGGAACCAGATGGATATATCCCAGTTAACGGTATCCAGGAGAAAGGTTTGTCAGAAGAGAAGTAGACCCCCGTAGGGAATACACTCACCAGATGTCGGAGAAATAACAGCCGTCTCTTTCACCGGGATGGAGAAAGGGGTTAATATTCACTCTGTCTTTCCGTGAGGTGTTGCGGTCTACTTTCAATCCTGGAGTATACGAAAAACTACTGTTACTTCAATCATGGATTTCTTGTGCGGCTTCCAAAGGTTATCCCGGTACCCGATCCCAGAAGAGGTACCGATGCCAAAGTAACGAAAGCCGTCCTGGGATTCCCTGTATTGCTTCCGGGAGTCTATCCCAGTTCTTGGTCTCACAAAAATGAGTACTTAGATCCGGGAAAGATAAGGAGAGAGAGCAGAACAAGGGCTCGTAGTGTATTAAAATTAAGATTTATTGGATCATGTAACCGCTACACATGGCGTTACTCGTAAAAAACAGCGAAACAGATGCTAGCTAGTCTGCTATAAAACAAATGCCGGTAATCGTTAGACTGTGGATGTGCCGTAGAAAACAGGCCCGCCTGCCGACGCGTTTCGTCACCAGACGTTGTCAAGGTATGGCAGGTCTGTATGGATCACACCACAGTCTATCTTAAATAGTCAGAACAATCATGAACACCAATCAACCGTGTGACGGGCAAGGTGCACAATTACCTCTAAATTCATTAATAAAAACAATTACATATTAGAAGAGTGATAACATTTGCATGTAAATAAAGATTAGAATTAAAAATTAAAAGAGCAAAGATTATATTAAATGGTAGAAAACGTAGCTGATCACGTAAAGGCCTGCTATCTAGACTATATCTATGAGTATTAAGGGGTAGGAATTGTATCAATGTGAAAAAGTGATACATAAATGTATAAATAATATCAGTGTAAAAAAATACATAGATAAATATGGATTCGGGTGTATATCATCTAAACCAGAAAATATCACAATGTGCCAATCAATATGGTGTATCACATATATACAACGAATCGGATATAATCAATAAATATCATTGCAGTGTCAGTTAATCAACTTAAATTGTAAAATCAATGTCAGTGTTTACAACGTGTGCTTAGGGTGAGATCGATGCATGTCGCTACCTTTAGAGATACTAAGACAGTTTATGTATCTTTAACTCATAGTGTACAAAAAAAATACATATATTTATTTAAGTGAATGTGGAAAATAAGTGAAAGAAAGTTCATTATTTAATGTTTTCGGGAGGAAAGATCCAAAGAATAAGTGTAAATGATTAAAATATCGTTTATAAATGCATAAGTTCGTTTGGAATTTAAAATCCCATATGTTGGGTTGTATCCCTGTAGATCATCTGCTGGGCCATACGGAGAAACGAGAAATTTGTATCTAGAGGGCTTAGTACAAGTGGATGTATATATAAATATGAGAAAAAAATCCAATCACATCTATAGTGTAAACTGTTCATATGGAATTCGAATAAGGTGTTTTTTAGCTGTCATTGAGAAAACAATTCAGGTCAAACTCTACATTTAGGCCTTTTGGTAATAATGTGTCTAGGAGATAAATCCATTTTGATTAATTTTTAGAGATTTCCCTAATTAGGTTGGAACCTCTCCAGTGACCTTCTATTCTGTCAATTGCTACCATTATTAAGCAAGATGGATCCCTATATGAACATATTTAAAATGTCTTGACAGACTATGTTTGTCAAATCCTTTTTTAATATTATTAATATGCTCTTCCAGGCGTTTTTTTAGTTCTCTTTTAGTCCTGCCAACATATTGGAGACCACATGGGCATTCAAGAAGGTAAGTAACATATTTACTAGAGCAAGATATGAAGTTATTAATTTTATATTCCTTATTTGTAGAGGCAGATCTAAAGGTTTCTACTTTTTTCCTAGTTCCTGTAGTTCTGCATGCAATATTATTATTATACAGGATTTATATAGCGCCAATAGTTTGCACAGCGCTTTACAATATAAGGAAGACATTACAGTCACAATACAATTTAAGACAAGATGGTAAGGAGGGCCCTGCCCGTGAGGGCTTACAATCTAAAAGGGAGGGGCAAGTGATACATGAGGAGGTAGCTGTGCGGGGATGATTGTTTGAGAAAGTGATTGTTCAGTGGTTAGGTTGAGGTGGGATAGGCTTCCCTGAAGAGATGAGTCTTAAGGGATTGCCTAAAGGCAGTCCGTGTGGGAGATAGACGGACAGGTTGGGGTAGAGAGTTCCATAGAATGGGAGACACTCTAGTGAAGTCCTGGAGGCGAGCATGGGAGGTGTTGATGACGGAGCTGGAAAGCAGGAGGTCTTGTGAAGAGCGGAGGGGACGGTTAGGGTAATACTTTGAGACCAGGTTGGAGATATAGCCGGGGCCAGAGTTGTGGATGGCTTTGTACGCGGTTGTTAATATTTTTAATTTTATCCTTTGGGCTATAGAAAGCCAGTGGAGGGATTGGCAGAGGGAGGTTGCAGACACTGAGCGGTTTGTTAGGTGGATGAGCCTAGCAGCTGCATTCATGATAGACTGAAGTGGGATACAGTTTAAGTAGAGAAGCCACAATTGTGAGAAGCAATGGTAGAGAACGCATGGTGTGCAGAGGAAGTATGAGACACTAAAGTGAATGAGGAGTAGTAGGTATGAAACGGGTGCAACAATGAAAGGAAAGAGGTGGGGAAGAGGTTAAAGCGGGATAGTATTGAAATCTGGGAGAATGGTCAATGAATAACAGCTGCTGGGCAGCTGAATTGTCCTTGAGTCAAGTGCTGATGTATCTCTATAAAGGTAAACTGAACCATGGGGTGGGTGGGTTGAGGGGAGGGAGGGTGGAAGCAATGCTCTGCGGTGAGCCGTAGATGGGATTTTGGTTGCTTAAATACTCTATCTGTTAGCCAAGGTGCAAACTTTAGAGAAAAAGAAAAAAGAGAAAGGCAGGGGGTTGCTTGAAGTACAGATAAGGGGGTAGAGGGTTATAAACTTCAACAAAATTTATGGTTTGACATACAATACATCTCCTGCATGGATAAAAACCTTTTCCCTCAAAAAATGTAAAATTCCATGTTGTAGTTATGGACAAGACCTACTATGAGAATGAGATGAATAACATCCTTAACACCAGAGACACATATTTGAAATTTAAAAAACCCAGCCAGTACCTATAAAAAAGAATTAGAGAAAATAATTAGTAAAGGACATAAGAAAGGTTTCCTAACTAAGAAAGAGAAGGACTACCTATTACCCTCCACATGCCGGACACCTGTTCTGTACTTCTTACCTAAGATTCACAAGAATATTGAGAAGCCCCCAGGGAGACCCATCGTGAGCGGAATAGACTCCCTATGTTCCAGAGTAGGGGAATATATTGATTGTTTTTTACAACCCTTAGTGACCCAAACAGAGGCTTTTCTCAAAGACAGCAAGGATATACTTAATATATTAGAGAACTTAGAAGCGAATGAAAATATGATCCTGGCTACTATTGACGTCAACTCACTTTACACTGTAATACCTCATAAAAAAGGATTGGAGGCCATACAATGGGCATTCGATAAGTTTGGTACTATAAAACCAGAACAAATCAAATGTATGCACAGCCCACCAAAGAGTCACAGGTGGGCTGTGCAATACCTTCTGGTGGGCTTTGAGGTATCCATGGGGGGCTCTGCAGCCTGCAAAGCCCACCACAGATCATGCACAGCCCACCTAAGATCTGGCAGACTGCAGGGTCTCAGGGGGTCTCTGCAGGATCTGTGGGGGGCTTTGCAGGATCTGTGGGGGGCTTTGCAGCCTGCAAACCCCCCACAGATCCTGCAAAGCCCACCACAGATCCTGCACAGCGCCCCTGAGATCCGGCAGACTGCAGGGTCTCAGGGGGTCTCTGCAGGATATGTGGGGAGCTTTGCAGGATCCGTAGGATGCTCTGCCACCTGCAAAGCCCACCACAGATCCTGCACAGCCCCTCTGAGATCTGGCAGACTTCAGGGTCTCATGGGGGCTTTGCAGGATCTGTGTGGGCTCTGCAGCCCCATGGTGGGCAGAGCCCATTACAAATCCTGCACAGCCCCCCTGAGACCCTGCAGACTGCAGGGCCTCCAGGGGGCTGTGCAGGATCTGTGGGGGGCTTGGCAGGGTCTTGGGCCTGTGCAGGATCTGTGGTGGGCTCTGCCCACCATAGACCCCACAGAGCTCACCACAAATCCTGCTAAGCCCCCCTGAGACCACAGCTTTCCTGCTATGCTAATAGCGGAACATGTCAAAAGCTGGATACAGTGTTTGCACTGTATCCAGCGACTGACAGGTCACGCAAAAAGTATTAAACAGGAAGGGGTGGGGTAAAGTTAGTGGGGGTGGGGGCGCCCGAGTTTTGCCTTGCCTAGGGCAGCCCCAAACCAGAATACACCACTGCGTTCAGGGACCACCAATTGAAATAGATCCGACTGACCCGGATCGCGATCCGGGCCAGTCACAATTAGGCAGCGGCAGCCAATAAACAGGTAGGTTAGACGGCTGCGTCCTCCTCGCTAGGACCCCGGGAGACCCCGCAAGCGGTCGTCTAATCTGCCTGTTTAGAGGTCACTGCCGCTGCATGATTATGACCGTCCCGACTACAGTGGCGATCCTGTACGTTCGGGTCCCCCGTGAGAGCCGTACAAGGCTGTAAGGCAGTGATGTTGAACATTTCTTAAACCCGAGCGCCCAAACTGCAATACCAAACTTATTTTCAGCGCTGGCACTTTGAGATAAATAAATTGATTTTGCGTCGCAGTTTGGGCACTCGGGTTCAAAAAGGTTCGCCATCACTCGTCTAGGGGATGATCTTCAGCTGCCCACCCAATAGCTCTAACCGCCCTTCCTCTGGTGCCCATAAACTGATGTCCATTCCAGTAGTATGATGCTAAGTAACTGATTTATTGAACATTCTATATTGGGAGAGAGGGTATAAGGGATTCTATGTATCCAGAGGTGACCATCAGAAGCTCCAGACTCACCGGACCTTGTAGGAATATCAATGTAGATCCACCTGGGAGACATCAGATAACCATTGATGTGACAGACAGTCAGGATGGATGCAGATCCTCAATCCAGGGCACTTCAAGAGCTTGCACCGGTCCTGGTTCTCTTCCTCTTCCAGCATCTCAGGCCTCCTCCATGTTGGAGGCCTCAGGGAAACCTCTTCCCTCACACCAGCCCATGCCCACTGTGCTGCCCCCATGGGGCATAGAAGTTCTATTTAGATAAGGATTTATATAGATTGTTTTCTCTATACCATTTTCCTATGGATGTTTATATCTAGTTCACATGCTGCCATCTAGTGACCCTTTGTGGTAATGCACATGTTTTCTATGTTCCCTTTCTGTAATATCTACGACACATTTCCTGTGTGTGTAATGCCCCACCCTTCTTCCTCGTTAGTACTTCCTGTGTCATGGCCACAGCTAACAGGCCACATGTAACAAGGGACACATGTATTCTGCACAGTACTCTACGAAAGCATCATCTTTTGACTGCATAATACCTTAACCATTCATTCTGCTTCCTGTCATCTGCTGTAACCGTGATGTTCAGAATAAAGCACTACATACTGTTGGGTATCCTTAGACGTGTGTTCACTATATACTTCAATACCTCATTCCGTAGGATTAAATGCCCTTCTGTTTTTTTCATTCAAATTCATCCCTCAATCAGACTCATGCACAATTCATTATGGATTGTACCGAATTTACGTTAACCCACAATTTTTTTTTTTCGTTTGTGGAAAATTTTTATTTACAGATCAAAGGTACAGCCATGGGAGCAAATTATGCTCCGAGTTATGCAAATTTAACCATGGGCTATTGGGAATCCTTCAATATATGGAAGAATAACCCATATGCCAATAGGATAGTCTATTACGGCAGATATATTGACAATATAGTCATTATATGGGATGGCCCCCCAGATACAGTTATAGATTTTGTAGCTCATTGCAACAATAACAACTTAAGCCTCTCTTTCACCCATGTGGTCAGCCCCACCGAGTTGGTCTTTCTCGATCTAGAGTTGACAACTATCGAGAATAGCTTCATCACCAGAAACCATGTCAAGCCTTCTGGTGGCAACTCGTATCTCCATTACCATAGCTGCCACCACCCACGATGGAAGAACAACATATGGACTTACATGCCCGTGTGGTCTTATCTATGTTGGACACACCATGCGCCCTCTGCGCAAAAGAATAAGTGAGAAGGGTGATACAGAGCATAGCGTCCCCAGACATTTCACTATGAAACATTATATAAACACATCTGTATTAAACATATACGCCATTGAACACATATCCACTCAATCATCACCTTCCGAAAGGTTTCGCCAGTTGTGCAAGAGAGAAACCTTTTGATCTATAAATTGAATACACTAGTACCAACCGGTTTAAATGAGGAAATTGAAATACACACAATCCTATGAGCATTAGTCCTTTGAGTCAATAGGTCCGTGCATAGATAATCACAATAAAAACGAAAAAATATAGTTTATTTTTAACTTCGTTTACACTGTGATTCACAGGTTTTATGCATTTTTACTATGATCCACTTCCTTCCCTTTTATTAGGATCCACATCCTTCTCCTTTTTTTCATAATCTTTTAAACTTTTTTAATAATGATAAAATATGTTCTTATTATAATATTTTTACATAATTTCTATTCCTTTGTATCATGTAACACTCCCTTAAAACCAAAAGTCCATGATTTGGACATATAGCCCCCGTTCACAATTCCCCATCCATTTATAAAGTCCGTGTTGCAACAACCGAATAAACTAATAAATGTTGTGTTTAAACATGCCACCAAGATTTCACATGCCTGCATGCCCAATGCGTTCTGTTTGTGAAGAACAGTTCTATTACTACGATGTCCTAGCCGCAAACCACACCTTTTTCAGCCCTGCACCAACCAGGAATCGACACGGGAGATGTACCCACCCACCTGCCATATTTAAATAAGTCTTCTTGATTCCCGCCCGTTCTTGATTTTCTTGTACGGCTTGAGAAAGAGGCACCGGCCTCGAAACGCGTAGCCAGCCATTGGACAGCTGCCTCCCAGCCCCTCACTGAGGTCACACTGTCATTCCACACTGACAGCTAGACACTGCGAGCCGCGGCTTGAGAGACAGCGCAGCAGCGGCATCCCCAGCCGTCCTATCACGGATGCGAGCAGGCTCAGCTTGGCCAGCTGAGCACTTCCTTTTCGCCCTAAAAAACATATATCACTCACCCCAGACTGAGGTCACATTACAGGGAGCATTATGGTCTTCTGACCCACGACCCCCCACCGGCAGGGCGACGCCACCCTCTGGCCGCAACCAGATCATCCAACAGTGAGTCATTCTATTTTTCTTTGATACCTATTATTGTGATTAAGCCACCACATTCATCCTACTTTATGACTACACTTGTACAATAGGGTAGTAGCGCCTCCTTCCCCAGTCTTCTTTTTTTCTCTGCCATACGGCCTGCAGGAGAGATGGGCACAACAGGGCTCAAGGTACAAAAGAGACTATAACGTATCTTTTCCTCCATTCTCATATTTTTGCAGGTTCATCAGTGAACAAGCCTGGATGAGAAACGATCCCAGCTTCAGCTTCAGTGAACCCAACTTGCCTGCTTCATCATCATCACCC